GAATGAGAACTCAAATTTTCATTTCTTTCTCTCTCGAATTGAGTTTCAGAATCAAAAGATTACTCTTCATTTTATATTTTTTAAATTTAATTTCTTTTATTTTTTTCAAAAGGTAAGACAAATTTGAATTTATGTTCGTGGACTCGAAATCCACTTAAATTTGAGGGTCGCATCTTTTCTGCTCTCTCTCACACAAATTCATATGTATATACAAATACATATCCTACCTATAAGCATGAATATAGATTTGTGTATATGTACAAACAGAAATGATCTAATGAGCACCGGTGCTCATTAGATCATTCCTGTATGTATATATAGATGATGAAGAATTTTGGGAGTTATGCATCGAAAATGAATCAAAATGTATCAAGAAAATAAAATTAAAATTAAAAAAATAAATCATAATAACAATAACTTATAGCATTGCAGGTCGGACGGGCCGTACCGCGGCCTGCAGGCCATTTGCACCGTGGGCAATCCCCAACTTTCAGAATTATTGTAATTTGGTCCTCAATTATGGTTTTGGCCAAGACTTATCCTTTTTCATTCTAATCTTCAATTTTGATGCTGAAACTTCCAAACCCTTTCAGATTGAACCCAAAACTTCATAATCATTGAAATTGATATGTCTCAAGTTTCGAAAGTATATAATTTAGTTTTCGAACTTTCCAAAAATTGAATTTCACCCCAAAACTTGTAATTTTCTTTGATAGCTTTCTTTTTACTTCTAATCATTTTCATGAATTTTGATTAATCTTTAGTTACACCGAATCAACTTCTATAGCTCAAAATTGTCATTTTCACACAAATTCATTGAAGTTCGGATTTTTCTACAATTAACATAATTATACTAAATTAGGTAGAAATTCGCTAAATTAATTTAATTTATCAAGTCTAAAAGTTTGAATAAGTGTGTAAAAATACTCTTGTCAAATACTCTCAAATTTAAACTATTGTTCGTTCCAAGTAAGATTATCTACTAAATACACATGCAAATAAATAAAAATATAAATCCATTTGATAACTTTGCTGAACTCGCATCAATTATTGAAATTGTTTGACAATATGTCAAAAGTTTTAAATAATTGCAAATAAGATAATTTTTTTATTTATTCAATGCTTGACCAATGTGTTTGCATAGTCAATCTAATCTATCTATGTGTTTGCATAGTCAAGCTAATCTATCAATGTGTTTGCATAGTCAATCTAATCTATCAATGTAACCCATTCAAAAATTCATATTGATCATCATGACCATTATATTTAATGTAATACGATCTAACATGAATCAGTATCATATTTTTAAAAAATCCCATCATCAAATCACAACTTATGCACTATAAACAATTTTTAATATTTATCAATTAACCGACAAGGCTATCCAACTCACGTTAACACATATAAAATCAGAATTTTTTTAAAATTATTTTTTTAAGAATTTTCAAATTTTTTTTTGAATTTTTAATATATCACACAAACAAATGAATATAACAAACTAACAAAACTACATCCCAAACTTAAAATATATATTATCCTTAATGTACACACAAAATAGGTTTAAAGAAAAATTAGCAATACTCACCATTTATATGATTTTTTTGCTTCAACACTTAGTATTTTATCTTCCTTCTTCTCTCCTTCACTTGTTATTACAAAATATTTTCATCATACCTGAAACGAAAAGAAGAAATATTTACCAATTCACTTACATTGGAGTTAGATCGAAATTGATTTCTAATATGTTCACTCTTGCCCATAATGAAACCTTCGAATTTGAAATCAGGTCACAAGTTTCGCATAATGTCACAAGTTTCCAAGGACACAAGTTTTAGGTGCCATTCTTAGCCCCTGTCTGGGTGCTATTGTGGCGAAAACACAATTGATTTTTCCTTCAAAATCATCAGAGCTCACAGTTGGAAATTGCTCCATTTTTTTATGCATTTCAAGATTGGCAATTGTCCTTTTTTACCCTCAATTTTGAATAATGTGTCCATTTGTCCTATTTCATTTCAAAACCAATGGCTTTTGATTCTTTTGAATTTCCAAAGAGTTAATGTTGTGTATTGTTTGTGGGGCCACCACCACCTGCGAATAATAAAAAGAATGCTAACACAAATACGCCATTGATGCATGAAATCGAGTAATTCATTTTTTTATTCCGATTTTTCAAATATAACAACCAATGCAAACACTCATACCGTCGTGAACAACGACGTTATTGTAATTTTTTTCGTTTAAATAAGCACACATTATCATTGTTGTTGTGCCAAATAATTGCAGAGGGGATCCCACTCATTTCGTGGCATTTACAGTGCACTAATTCCAGTTGTAATTTCGTCATGTCTGTCTGGAAGCTCCACCTCAGCAGCAATGGGATACATCTCCACACTCATAAACGCTTCTCGATAAGACCCGCCCATCAAAAAAAGTTGTGAATACACATAGTTGTTATTACAAAAGCATTCCGTACTCTAAAATTATAACTCAACATACGATCGAGTATTTTTCACCGACCTTTCCAAACTCCGAATGTACATTCGATTATGTTTCTGCATGATGAGTGCCTGAAATTAAACTTCTCACGTACATTTGGAAAGTTGTGCCTGTGGCCTGTTTCCCTGTCATAAATTGCTAGAAATGGTACAAGATATTGGACCTCTTATAAGAAGCCATGTACACAAGTCAATGGGCAAACCCCGAGTCAACTAGATAATATTTTCCCACTGCTGGTTACGAGAAGTCAATATCAGAGCTGTATAGCATGAGCCAAGATGCGGGCATCATGAATATTCTTTGTTGTACCCATTAGTACAATTCTGAAACACAAATTAAATCACATACCACCGCACATTTTGGA